AAATCGCCCCAAAGCACGCGATGTCAAATGCCCCCCCTCTTCGGCCCCTTTATTTCGAGGGAAATTGCATTCTTTGGTGCACAAACACAAAACTTCATACATATTTATTACCTCAACGCGCTTTTGTTGTATTTGCTGTTGTGCACAATAACCAACATTATACATATATAAAGGTATAATGCACTTAATTTCCTGCCTGTGTCCGCCCAGAAAACCCCACCACCCCCGTTCGCTTTTCCGCCGAAGGGGGCATCATATTTTTCGTTGGAGCTCTGCGTGCAAGCCACTAAAATTAAATTATATTAGTTCATAATTTTAAATTATAAAATTCAACTTGTTCGTTGGATGTCGTGGGTGATGGGGGAGTGGTTTTTACTGAATGAGCCGGAGCACGGCAACCTGGTTTGGAATTGCCCTGCGGCATCTCCATCTCCATTTCCATCGCCATCACCATCCGTTGCTGCTCCAAATGCAATTTGAAAATTTTAGAAAATATTTAGAAAATTAACGCAAAGTTGTGGAAATGTTGTTGAGTCGTCTGGCTCGTCCGCTCGCTCACAAAACTTTATTCAGTTGCTTCTAAAAATATTATGCAAATTCTTTTTGATGCTCTAAGCTGGACGGAAATGGGAGGACCGACATTTGATTAGATTCCATTTTGGGAATGGAAAATTAGCCGGGAATATATTTACGACTTTAAAAGGACATTAAACTCAGCCAAGCTCTGGTTTTTATAAATGCTGGGCAAGTTGAGTAGCAATACTTTATTGAGGAAATATTAAGTTTTCTTCAAAATATTCAAAGATTTCTTTAAAAAATGAATATGTTTTTGTATTAATTAACAAATATACAAAACACTTAAATTAATTTAAAAATTGATAAAAATAAAACCAAAAATGTTTTATAGGCTCTTGTTTATTTATCCAAATAATATGCTGCATATCCGTGCGGACTATTTACCTCTTTGTTCCTATCTGGTCAAGCCGAGGCAAAGCCCTTAAATCAAATTACCAGCTGACAAGCAGTTTTCAAGTCCTTCGGATCAACAGTTCAAGGAATGCAAATTTTCGGTGGACAGGAATTTCGTGCCTTTTTGCGTCGGACACATGCCAGAGATGTCTTGGGGCCAAAGACGGAAGTTTGATTTGCTAATGAACTGGAGAAAGGATGTTCGGGTCAGCCTTTGCCAACCTGGAAGCCCGCAAAGTGTTCTATTGGCCAGAAAATTACATTTGATTCGGTGTCGTTTTGGCCATCGCATGTCTTGCATGCCGGGCACGTTTTGCGTGCCTATCGAGTGAAGGAAAAGTGGGAAATGCGAAGGACATCGAGCTGGCAAGGAGTCCTTTTTGTTTGCCTTTTGACGGTTCGTGTGGTTTGCCCTTGCTCCTTGCTCCCACTCACTTGTTGCATGTGTCGAGTGGCAGAAGGATATGGCTTCGATGCCTCCGGCGGTGATGTTTAAATTAAATTTCTGCGGCGACAATTTCCATGAAGTGTTTGGATAATGGCTTCATAATCTTCATCTCCGTCCATTTCATTTGCATGCCATTGCCATAATTTAACGTCATATATTTACTCAACCATTTGGCACAATAATAAGCTTGATTGTTTATACTAGAGATGACTTTCCCCATTTCTCTCTCCGAAAGCTTTTTATTAAATTGCAGAAGCGGCTGCCAAATTTATTGCAATTTTTTTCTGCCAACCTTTCAGTCTCCTTCTCTCACCACTTTTAAACCCACTGTCTGCTTTTGTTTTTGAAGTAGGAAACATTGTGAAAGTGCAAGGCGAAAAAAAAAGAATGCGAAGAAGAAATAACATGGGGAACTTAAGTAAACATTAATTTACATAACTTCTGTGCAAATGACGACGGTGGGCGGTTAGGACGGAGGGGCGGGGCCGGCTGTCGTCATCGGGCACGAAAACCGGATCCCAAGTCCGGACGTGGGCGTCAGCGCTCTTGTAGCCCGGCGTTATTAAAAAATTTAAAGCATGTTTTGCGGCGCAGATGTAAGGGGGGTTTTTCAGGGCTCTTCTCGAAGGTTTTCATGGGGTTTATAGGGGGCGTAGTTGGGTAGCTGGATAGCTGGGTCCCAGCAATATGGCCGTGCTTAGTTGTCACTGTCTGCGGCAGTGGGCCCAGGATGTTTGTGTTTGTGATCGACGACGGCGCACATAAGCAAACGTTTCTCTCTATATATTTTTTTCCGTGGGTATCTTGGTCCTTCTTTCGTATCCTTGTTGTAGCGAACGACGCTGGTGTGTTGGAGAGAAGTGCCAGCGTCTGTTTTCAATGTTGCCAGGAGTCGTTTCTTTTATGTAGCCACTTGGTGAACGCTCAAATGGAGTGGTGACGGAGATACGCCGTAATAAGGAAGCTGACAGGACCAAGAAAATACACTACAAGTCTAGGGAAAATAGTCAAAAAATTAAAACTACTTTAATCATTTTAAAGGTTAAGCCAAAGAAGGACAGAAATTAATCTGTGAGTGCGCTGACCTTGACTGTAAAATAATTAACATTTTTTTTTTTAAGTATGTATAGTTTACACTTTAATTTGGAGGTTGTGTTTGGCTTTAGTATGCTTTTAATAGTTATCTATCCTTAAACGAATTCTTTAGAATGTTTATTATATTTAACAACAATAATAAAATAAAAATATGTATTAATTTTTATGAGTTTAAAAAAAAACTGAAAAATTTATACAGTAATTTTTCTACAAATAAGTATAAGTTCATTTAGTTAAAAAATATATACCCACTCAGATTTAAATTAAATTAAATTTTAAAAACTTATTTAAAATTTATTTATTTATTCTGGTTTTTCCAAGACCCAACGAACTTAACTCCAAACAATGCCCTACACAAGAATTAATCAAGCGAGTTACAATGACAGTGCATATTATTTTCTTCTCTTGTGTCCTCGCCACACTTCAGGCCAGGACACCCCCTACCACCCCCAAATTTGCCACCCCCTTTTCCGGCTTTGCCAATGGCGCGCAGCTTAGCGAAATTGTTTGCGAAAATACAACACAATATTCAAGAATAATGATGACATTGTTGACTCCAGTACCCGGCGCGAGTCATAAAAAAAAGAAAAAAAGTTATATACGATGAGAGAAACGAGAAGTGGGGTTACGGAATCCGCATATCCCCTCTGCATAACCGCAAGGACATCTTCCGCAGGATTAAACGCCCTAAACGCCCTAAACGCCCCGCTTTAGACATTGCAACGCCCCAATGGGTGACTTTAGAGGGAGATAGAGACAGAGGAACACAACGATATGGGGGCAGGACACAGCCGGAAAGAGACAGGACGAAAAAAGCAAACACGATTACCATATTGTATGATATGAGGCTATATCGAGCTTGGCTATAACCGGAAGCGGACGACTCTGTTTCCTCCTCCACCCCAACATTTCCCTACCCCTCGGCAAACAAAGCCTGGAAATCTAAATTGAAATAAATTGAGGTTATGGCATTAGACAGTTTTGGAAATAATCAGACGTTGATGTGGCCCATTAGCATTTAGAGTATGTGTTGTGTGCTAGAAAGCCATATAAAGTCATGAAAAAAAAATTCTTAATAAATCTATCTGAATATTTAGCTACTAAGTAAATATGAAAATCTAATAAGGAAAAGAATTTCAACAAGAAAGAAAGCAAACTTCGGCAAGCCGAAGTTCATATACCCTTGCAGCTATTGCAAGAATTAAACATTTTTGAAAACATTAAAATTATAATTTACTTGCGTATAAGTTTAAAAACATTGAAGCTATGATGATTTGCAGCTCAATTATTTGATAGTTATTTTATATATTTTTATTGTTCCTATGGGAGCTATATGATATAGTCGTCCGACTTTGATGAAATTTAAACCGTAAATCGAAAATATTTAACCATTACTAAATGTCGAAGAACTAAACAAAAAATAAAAAAACAGAAGGGTTATAATTTTTTTTTATTTATTTTTCCGATTGTTCCTATGGGAGCTATATGCTATAGTCGTCCGATTTTAATGAAATTTTTACCATAATTCTGAAATATTTAACCATTGCTTTATGTCGAAGAACAAAACAAAAAATTAAAAAACAGCAAAGTTATAAGTTTTTTCAATTATTTTTCCGATTGTTCCTATGGGAGCTATATGCTATAGTCGTCCGCTATTGATGAAATTTAAACCATAATTCTGAAATATTTAACCATTGCTATATGTCGAAGAACTAAACAAAAAATTAAAAAACAGCAAAGTTATAATTTTTTTTCATTTATTTTTCCGATTGTTCCTATGGGAGCTATATGCTATAGTCGTCCGATTTTGATGAAATTTAAAACATAATTCTGAAATATTTAACCATTGCTATATGTCGAAGAACTAAACAAAAAATTAAAAAACAGCAAAGTTATAATTTTTTTTCATTTATTTTTCCGATTGTTCCTATGGGAGCTATATGCTATAGTCGTCCGATCCGGCTCGTTCCGACTTATATACTACCTGCAATAGAAAGACAACTTTTGGGAAAGTTTCATGCAGATAGCTTTAAAACTGAGAGACTAGTTTGCATATAAACGGACGGACAGACGGACAGACGGACAGACGGACAGACGGACAGACGGACAGACGGACAGACGGACATGGCTAGATCGACTCGCCTAGTGATGCTGATCAAGAATATATATACTTTATAGGGTCGGAGATGTCTCCTTCACTGCGTTGCAAACTTCTGACTGAAATTATAATACCCTCTGCAAGGGTATAAAAATAAACAATGTTAATTGATCCTGTTATTAAAAATAAATAATCATTAATAAATAAATAATTTAAAAAGCTTTGTTGTTACCAACAATTAAAATTTGACACAATTTTAAAATGGTCAAGTTCATATATGTGTTTTGCTTTTGTTTTGATTAGTGGAGCTTCCAAAACATGATTTGTCTGGCGTATTTTTTGTTATCTCCACAAACAAAACCCACTGACACTTGAATTAATAACGACGACTTTTTGTGTTGGGTCAAAGACCCCAAGGTAAACAATATATATTTATGTACACACTGGAGCTAACAACTACATTATATCTAAAAGATTAAAAAATGCTGAGATCCTACCAGCTGAGTTCCTCGGGCAATCCGCCAGGATACTCGCCCGTTAGACAGGCGGTGCAGTAGCCAGCCTTCAGCGGATTCACATGGGCCTTGTTCATCTGGACGGCCTTCACCAGTCCCTCCACACTCAAATAGGCCAGACTGTCCGCCCCCACATGATCCGCCAGCTGATCCGCGTTCAATTTGTTGGCTATTAGCTCCTCACGAGTGGGAATATTGATGCCCATATAACAGGGATATTGCAGCGGCGGACTGGCGATCCTGATGTGCACCTCGATGGCTCCAGCATCTCGCAGGAGTTTGATGATCGGTCCAATGGTATTGCCCCTCACTATGGAATCATCGACCAGTACGATCCTCTTGCCCTCAACGTTTTGAGCCAAGGCTCCAAATTTCTTCGCCACTCCCAACTGGCGCAATCTGTTCGAAGGTTGGATGAAGGTGCGGCCCACATAGCGATTCTTGCAGAGAACCTCACCGAAGGGCAAGCCCGATTCCCTGGCATAGCCATGAGCAGCAGCCGTGCCCGATTCCGGAACAGAGCTGACCAAGTCCGCATCCAGGGGGGATTCCCTGGCCAGTTGGCGACCACATTGCAGACGGGCGGAGTACACCATCTGACCCTCGAACATGGAGTCGCTGCGGGCGAAGTACACATACTCAAAGATGCAGAATGCCATGCGCTTGTAGTCCGGTCGCTCGACGATATCCACGGTTCTGTAGCCATTCCTCGACAGCTCGATGATCTCGCCGGGCTCCACTTCACGGACATATCTGGCTCCGATGGACAGGAAGCCACAGCTCTCGCTACTGACCACCCAACCTTCGGCCAGTTGTTCATTGATATTCGCGTGTCCCGCGTCCACAGGAACTATTTTGCCCAAGCAAAGAGGCCTGTTTCCGTACGAATCGCGGACAGCATAGATCTTGTCCTTGTGCATCACCACCAGGGAATAGGAAAGCGGAGCGAGGGTCATAAAGTGGCGAATCCTGGCCGGCCAATTGGGTCCATCGTGCTCGGAGACATCCTCGGGAGCACAGCACAGGGATTGGGCAATCAGCTCACTGTCACTGTGCGTGGACAGGCCCACTCCTCGCTCCAGGACCTCCCTCCTCAAGGACTCACAGTTCACCAGCTCTCCATTGTGGGCAATGGCCAGAGCTCCATGGGCAGTGTGTACCACAAACGGCTGACAGTTCACAACTTCCGAGGCTGCTGAGGTGGAATAGCGAGTGTGACCTATGCCCAGGTTGCCCTTCAACTTCCTGATGGCTTCGTCATTAAACAGGTTGTTGATCATTCCCATGCCCTTGTGCACGCTGAAGTTCTTGGAGCTCTTGCCCAGGCTGGTCACGATTCCCGCGGACTCCTGTCCTCGATGCTGCAGCGCCACCAGTCCCAAGCAGATCATCTGGGCAATGTCCAGCTGTAAGCAGAAAAATCCCATTAGTATTTTGCTTTTTACTTCATAGGGTAATGTGCAGAATATAGTATTAAATATGTTTAAATGAACATTAGGCTGGTTTAAACATTAATAGCATATTTTTTTAAAAGCTGATTGATTATAAGCAAACCTAAGACAACATTTCAAATTTAGATTTATATTAAAGTTTAACAAGGCTCTTTTGACTTAAAATCACATGAGAAAAACAGCCGATAACGGGATGTTTGCTCCCGACCCAGAATCCGCTGGTACTTTCTGTTATTTTCCATTTCATTACAGGCGGCCGTAAAAACATCAACAACAGAGATTACAACCGCAAGCCGCGTGTATGGATTCGGTTCGATCTCATTGACGTCATCACAGCCTCTGGGCATTGGCCACAGACCCAGAACTGTTTGAAGATCAACAGGGGGTGGATCTAGTGGATCTGTTAGAGGCTTACCATTGACCCACTTGCCATCGATTTGCATTTGTAGGTCTGACGTGCGACCATGCAGCATAGAATTTTGCAGGCCGAGTGATCCGCTTGTTTGACAGGCTCAATGATCTTGCTCTGATCTCTCGTGATCGGCATTTCTTGGGGTTTTCGAACACAAAGGTGGGGATCGTTGTCGATTGATTTCGTTATCTTCTATTGTCTAGTATTATTTATTTGTTAGCTGCTAACTGATTATTAATCTTTCTTAAATAATCTGGGATTACTCAAGAAGGTTGCGAATCAAGACGTAATGCCAACAGTATGATGATTTTTATAATTTGTTGGTAAACATTTGTTTTTTAGATTTTAAAGAGTCATCTATATTTTTATTATAACATTAAACAAAATATTTTATCATAAGAACCCGAATAACTTTTCAAAATCACACAAAATAATCATATATAGGCAATTTGTTAAAAACTGTTGTAAAATATTAAAATTTTCTAGAAGCGTTGCTAAAAATGTATTTAGTTTTCAATAATGCAAGCAAATCGAATTTTTTAAATAAAATAAACTAGAATTTTAAACATTTACTTCTAGTAGTTATCAATTTGCAATCTTAAAAAGTGTTTTTGTGCCCACCTGTGTTGGATAATCTCCGCATGCGATGGCTCCAAAAACTCCACACTCACAGGTCATTCCCGTGGCATCAACTCCTTTTGGCTGAACCGACTTATAGATTTTGTCGGGAAATATTTTTGGCGATGCATCCTTTAATACGCCATCCTTTGCTTTCTGGCAGCACAACTCATCTGTTGCAGAAATTACAAAATTTATAAATTTAATCACTAAATAACTAATTATTTAATCTTACCATTGCTGAGCTTGGAACAGCAATTTTCCGAACCACTTTGCTCCATGGTTTGCTTGGATTTTAATTACGTATATGTTTTGAGTATCGATTTTCTTGTTTGGCCCCTTTTGTGGGAATTGTATTGAGTGGGATTGAGACACTGTACACTTTGCACGAGATCGCTAGTTAAGTCGATCACTTGATCACTGGAATTGTTCACGTCTGCATTGATTGAATGCCAGCGGAATTATGAATGTTCATGTTACAGCCGCGCCTAATTAAACCTCCGATCATCACCATCATCATCGTCGGGCGATACGTATAAGGCGGGCAGCTGATATACTCGTACTTATCAGTTGAGCTGGGAATGCAATCTCGGCGATAGAGCGGATCGATTCGGAGCGGAAGGTTCCACAACCGCATGCCGGGCGGAATTTGATACCCCCCTTGATTCATGCCAAATATGCCGAATAAACACTTCATTTCGTTCTCACGTTTGGCTTTGATCACAGCGAAGATTTAGTGAAGATTCAATGACCGCATTATGTCCGTCTAGTCTTCAAATCACGCATCCCACTTCGGCATTGATCTCAAATCATATGCGCCTTTAAACGGGCCCGACACTTGCTATCAGCTAATGTGCTCGCACATGCATTTCAAGATCATAGTTTAATTATTTTTTAAGGGCCCCCCTTGGAGACAGTGTCAGCGAAAAAATTCATACCAACCCTCCTCCCCTATATTGTCACTTTGTGGCTTATCTGAGTCAACTTGAAGGAAAATGCGTCCATTGACGTATTTTAGAAATGTTTTCCTTACACATTCGGCGTAAACAATAACAGATTAAATTATGTTTTTCTTTTGCAAGTTAAATGGGCTGTGCTATCGCGAAAATACGGCAATTTGCAGGCCCCCAGTGGAGCGCAATCGAGGCGAGGGTTGATCGATCCGTTCGCGATCACACGATTGCCAATCGTAAACAATAAACAAATTCCACTCCAGTCGCCGACTAATCACTTGTGCTAATTATAGCCGCCTGTTCATCTATTATTTAGATGCAACTTGTTTATAGGTTCGGAAAAGCTGAGCCAAGTGATCAACTGATATTCGATTTAACACTGATCCAGCTTCCGATTGGGATTTCGATTGCGATTTCGCACCTCATCTGATGCAATAGACGCGACCGCAGGCATAAGCGTCTAATGCGGTTGTCTACCTGATAACCAGGGTCCACAAAACCGATTCGAATAAGTGCTGAGCCGAACTGAGTTGTCCAGACAGAACACCGCCGTATTTATGAACGTGTTGTATAAGGTCGACGCGACCTAAAAAGTTTTAATTACCGCTCGTCTAGCAGTTGAAATAAATATTTTGGACAATGAAAAATATTACACAGCTCTATAGAGTGTAGAACAGTACATTTTTTTAAGAGATGTGAAAGTAATAAGTTGTTTTTAATTAATTGTTCATTTTGTTATATTCCAAGCTCTTAACACCTCAAGTTTTATCCGATATTAAATCAATATTTTATTTTTAAATGACTAAGCATGATTCAAACTAAATGTTACACCTTGAAAACGACAAAAATAAATCATAATTGTTGAACCCTAATTTAACAAAAACCTATCAGTTTAAATATATGGAGGAAAACGGGTAAATAAGTAAATTTCGAGAAAAGGTTTCAAGTGAATACCCTGTTCTTAAATAATTTGTGACATTTTTATTTTCATTATTTTTAATTACATCAAAAACCGATATTTGGAAAAGAATTATATATTTTTTTAAAAATTACTGTAAGCATCTCTAGGACTATTTCTTTATCAAAACTTAAAGTTTCCATTTCCAATTCGGACTAGTCATAGCTGCCCTTTAACAAAGAGATAACCCATATAGGTGGTAGCCCCATCATTACCTTTTATTATCAGTATTTTTCGGCAAAAACAACAAGCAATCAAACAAACAAACGAAAAATACAAAAGGAACTAGGCAAACAAACAACAGAACGTAGATAATCAGATGCGGCACATAATGTGGAAATGAGCATGACTTGGGAAGAAGTGGGGCTTATGGATTGGAATGAGGTGAGATTGCTGGGGGGTGTCCAAGAAAAATGACCAAACCGAAAATCGCTGGGTTGGGTGGCTGTGAGACATGTGTAACCACTTGAATTTCATTTGGCGAAAAGCTTTATCGAAAATTATGCGAATGTTGGTTGACTTTTGGCCAAGCGCCACCATGCAGACCGAAGAGCTCCGCGGGACACTCCTAGCGCCATCTTCTCATACCCTGTACCTCCTCCGAAAAAATAGAAGCGGAGCTCATCATATGCACTGAGAAAAATTGCTACTTTTAAAATATATCTGCCGGAATCTTATCATAAAAGTTATAAGAAAAACCAATTCTTTAACCTATAAAATTTTAACAGACATTATTTTTTCTGTATCACAAACTTTATTAATTTTGGGTTTAACAAACATTCCCTATTTCTCTATACATTTACCTGTACAACTTTAAAAATTATTACTATTCCTATTTCAAAAACTTTATTGTCTTAATTTGTGTAACTGCAAATGCATGTTTTTAAAATTAAGACCTGTACAGTTTTTTATTTATTCTGTTACAAAAACTTTTAAGTTGTAATTTTTAAAACACTTACAAATTTGTAGAAAACCTAAATGTTGGAAAGTAATTGCAATTAATTTTAGATTTAGACATACAAATTTTATTTATATTTTTTTGTTGTAGTATTTAATCAACATATTTTGACTTGCTTTTAATTTGTCTAAAATAAAATCTTTTTGTTGATCTCAAAAATTTCGAATTTGAAATTTGATATTTGATTTCAAATATTTTTCTCTGTGAAACCAGCTAACTGCTTAGAAGGCTGATAAAAATCCAGCACACACTCACAGCTAAGCAAACAGATAATAAAGAGGAAAATGATGCTTCAGCGTGTGGGTTGGGGGATGGTTGGCGTTTCCAGGAGGGGGGCTTTTCGCATATGTGAGTGCCACACCCCCTGCTGCTCCTTGGACCGCCGTTGCCTCTGGAGTGGCGTCCAGTTTTCTGCTCCTGGTCGATGGACTGTGGACCAAGGCGAGCTTGGACCATGGACCGTGGACCACGGATCGTCTGCCTCATGCATAATTCAGCAGAATTCTGAATGATTATTCTTTATGGGACTGTTTATTTCTTTTGACCATTTATTTCAAGTTGCCTTCGTTGCCACGCTGCGTTCTTCTCGCTCCCTTTTTCATTATTTTTATACAGTTTCCAGTTGCTTGCGCTCGAAATGATTTTGACCAACGGTGACGCAAAAATCATCAAATGGCCCCGAACCCCATGACCATGTATCTATTGAGCCAAAAACGTTATACCATCCCAATCCGGACCCCCGGAACACGTATCCTTTGGCAACCACACATGGATTGGCGCCGCCCACTTTTTTTTCAGAGGAAAGTAGCCAAGGGCTCTCCGTTTGCTTTCAACGCATCATTTCATTTTATTTTATGCTCTCTCCCAAATGTGACCAGCAAAAGGGGGAAAATAAATTTTATTTGTTTTTCTCCGCTGGCCGCAATTGAATAAAATGTTCTCTTAATGCTAGCTGAAGGGGGACAATTACTCTAGCCAGATATCGCCAAAAGTTGCAACTAGTTCTATGGCTTAATTTAAATAAAAAAGTCCTTAAATTGGCAATTTACTGGGCAAATTAAAATGACAATATAAAATAGTTCTTTAGTTCTTGGTAAAATATATACTATGTTACTATTATAATAAATCTTACTTATTTATTAATAAGTTAACAATATTTAAATCTATTTTCTCCCAGCATACAAAATATTATACATAATTTTTAAGCAGTAATCAGCATAATCACTCCATCTTAACTCTTGCCAACTCAATCGCAACCAACATTGCATGGAAAAACTTTGATTAAACGCAAAAGTCCAATTGCTTTTCTCTGGCGAATGGGAATTTCAATTAAAACCGCATAAACTTGGTTTAAGTAAACAAAAGCCAAAGCCAAATCAGTGAAGAACTTTGATGCTTTCACCCTGCCTACCAGCAACCACGAAAATATCGAAAGGACAGCTTCAGTTCGAGGTCCTTCCTCTCGTTTTTCGGCCAGCGTTTTTAATTCGTTTACGTTTATTATTTATTCCACAGAAGGGGGGGAAAAAAACAAAGATGGAAGCTGAAGAAATCCGTCGTTTAAATTTGTTGTCGTTCCACCATGTTATTTGTCTTTTCTGGCATTTCTTTATATACCATTTGCATTTGCTTTATATATTTACTATATAGAGCTCACAATTTTCATTTCTGTCTTTTGTTTTCACGATGGTTTTGTAATTTTTTTTTTTTTTTTGTTTGGCTCTGTGAGAAATTTGCATAACGAAGCAGTCACAACAACAAACAGTCCCCCTGAAAAGTGGGCGTGTAGACCTGACTGGATGGACCAGCTCCGTCAGCTTTCAAGTTTACTTAGTTGCCAATTTGAGGAGCGTTGAAATTGTCCAGCGATGTGTACCACCTCCACGCCCACCGTCCATCGTCTTTCCAATATTTCTCTAATTAGTTTTCCTCATCTTTAAGAACTAGACCAAAATCCGTTTGGCCTTGTTGGCGCTTTCTTAAAGCCATCTTGTGCATTCGTAATGAACCGCTGATTGATGTCTGTCAAAAGGGGGCCAGAACATGTTTACAGAGGGACCTCGTTAAATCTTAATGACTTTCAATTTGTGGCACATTAGGCAGATCCCAAAACAACAGCAGAACATGTGTAACACCCAAAAATAAGCCTTCTTCTTGGCCGGGCTAATTAGCATTTCGGAAACGTAAATTGAATTACCAACGCAAAGTGTAACCGAGAACACAGTCGACAGGCACACCAAAACTGCTCCAGTTACGCGTGAGAATTTCAGGCCATTTCTCGACTGGTTTTCTAAAGGGACTTGGAATTGTGCGCATAAAATTTCAATTTCCACAATCGAAATGGAGTCGAAATTGCTGAAGAAGAACGGGTAGCGAATGGTGCCCGGCGACACATTCCCAAGGCAAGCTGCTCAATTGCTGGCCAATAATCATAAAATTTAATAAACACATTTTCTAGTCGCCGCTGGTCAACTGCTGACCGTTACCCACCACATTCACTCCCTTGGCGCATTGGGCAACAGTGGGTTAATGTATGCAAAACGCATTCAAATTTTATGTATCGCCCCGCAACGATCTGTGGGATAGTCAGCTCCTCACCCCTAGAAACCCCCAGTACAACATAATTCGAATTCGCCCGGGACTGGCTTTTTTGGTGCAGTGTCTGGTCGTCGGTCGGCTTTTCGACTCTCCAGTCTCAGTTCCAGTTCCGCTGTTATCTTCCACGGTCTATTGGCCCTCGTGGGTTCTATTTCTATCTCCGAGGGGCTTCTGTGCATGTAAATTGCATAGTTTCGGACACTTTGGGTCACCTAATGAGGCCGACTCGTCGTCGTCGTCGTCGTCGTCGTCTGGTCTTTGTATCTGTATCTGCGCTTGGCATGGGAAATGAGCAGATCTTCAGCGGAGACAAACAACAGTCCAACGTTTTGCACTGACACATTTTGAACTGGAGAAGGGAGATCCGAAAGGTGATCTGATCTAGTTTTAACTGGCTTTACGTACATTTGTGAATGCCAAAAGATATCAATATATTTGACGTTTTCAAATCTAAGAGCCCTACAAAAACAACATATAAATAAACAGGCTCTTCAAATAGTTTGCTATATAAGATATATTTAAGATTTTCGTATTTGATTTAACATAATTTGTTTATTTAGCATGGC